GAAAAAATTTAACGTAACGTAGATGCCCTTCAGAAAATTCAGAAGAACACAAACATTTGCCAAACTCTTGTAACAACATCTGGTTGCCACAGTATTAGAAGTTAATTGATGCCAACTGAGAAAAAAAAAAAAGTACACTGGGAGTGGGTCAGATTTATGCTTAGCACGCAGCAAACAGACATTTTTTTCCTATGGGAAATACGTTTAAAGTGTAATTTAAAGTACCTGAAACACAGTGACAGAGGAAGCTTCAATCTGATCCTTAATTTTATTCCTTTTTTGTTGTTGTTTATTTAGGTGAGTACATCATTCTTTCCACAAGCTTATTAACATACAAGCTTATTAATGTTATTGCCAGGGTTAAGATTTGAAACACCGTTAAGACTGGCACTAACGATGGGGTGACCAGGAGGTTCAGTCACTTAGGCGTCCAACTCTTGGTTTCAACTCAGGTAATGATTTCACACTTTGTGAGTTCAACCCCTGCGTCAGGCTCTGCACTGTCAGAGGGATTCTCCCTCTCCCTCTCTCTTTGCCCCTCCCTCACTTGCTCTCTCTCTCAAAATAAACAAATAAACTTAAAAAGAAAAAAGACTGGCACCAATGAAAAATGCCATGATTGAAAGGATCATTCCATGATTTTTTTTAAAGTCTAGTTTGTAGATTACACACATCAGAAATTCCTTTTTGAAGCAACTTGTGCCATTACTGGCAGTGTAATCTTAGGAAACTAGAAATCACCACTGACCACAGTTATACTCTAAAAATAACTAGAGAAATTGTCCTTGGTATTAGCAAAAGAATATATATGCTGTATGATCACTAATGAGACCAGGCCAAATATTGGAAAGATAAAAGAGAAGGATGCTTTGTGCTCTGTCAAAGGGCATAAGAATGCTGACACAGGTATGAAAGCATGCATCACTCACTGAAAAGTATTTAACCAATAATTGTCATTGTTATTCTAAATTAACACATTAGAACTGGATGAAACATAAGTAGGGCAACACGATTTCTGTATAGTGTTTCAATTACAAATAACATCTGAGCAGAGAGCTACTATTTTATTCCCGAATAAAGTGTGCAAAACATCATTGTCTTTTGATATTCTTGTTCCACTGTGTAAATTACTAAGAATTTATACATAAAATATAAAAATGTATTTTCTACGAGTTCCCACACCTATACGTACATTTTACTTAGCAGCATGGGTTAATGGAAAGAAGGCTAAAGTGGGAAGCACTTGTCTAATCTCACTCAATTAGAAATCACCTTGTGACCTGAGATATGCAAATGCATATTTCACCTGAAAATTTAGGAGTTGGACAGAATGATGTCCTAAATCCCCTCTAACTCCGAGAACCTATGAATTAATACCTAATCTAATTAAATTACAAAATCTTTTGTCAAATCCTAAAACTGCCAGGCACTGTGTCAGGATCAGAGGACTTAAAATTGAAGGAGACACTGCTCCCACCCTCCAGTTGTACTCCAGACTAACACATAGTCCTGCTATCCTGCTTCGCTCATGCAGACACACTTCCTGAGTGCTGACAAAATGCCAGGCTGTGTTCTATCGCTGAGGATACACCAATGAAAAGGACAGGGTAGGTCCTTGCTTTCTTTCCAACCAAACATAGGGAGAGCAGAAAATTAACAAGTAAAATGATTTCACCTAGTAATAGGTTCTATGAGAAGGACAAAAGAAGGCAAACGTGATTGGGGGTCTCAAGAGACTAGGTAAAGGGGGGTTCAGAAGGCCTCTCTAAGGAGGCAGCATCTGGGCTGAGATGGAAAAATGAGAAAGAATCAGTCATATGAAAAAGGGGGTGAAGTTGGAGAAAGAGGCTGCGGACCATCCCAGGTTAGATGGGAGAGCAAATTCCGAAGCTAACAAGCAAGAGAGAGCGTGGCCTGTGTGAGAACAAAAAGAGAGCCAGCGTAGCTGCACTGTGGGAGAAGACGTGGTTAGGGGAGACAGGCAGGACCAACTCAGTGCTGCTGTGTGATGTCTGGTAAGAAACAATTTTGTCCTGCTGTCTATGAAACTATAAGATGCTTTTAAGCAGGAGACTGACAAGATGCAATTTATGATTTAAGTTTACAGAAAATGTGATCAGCTCCCTCTAAACTATAAACAATTTTATGACTATAAACAATTCACCCACTGACTATAAACAGTAGAATTTGACGGAAATTAATTATGGAAACTTGTTTTCAGGAAAGGCAAAAAGTTAAACTGAGAGACAAATGAGGGATGATGGACAACTGGCTTGGGCTCATCTTGGGCAACAGCAGTAGAAGCGGTGAGATTCAGGATCAGTATTAGAGCTGCAATCAGCAGGCTCTAGGGATGAAGAGGCTGTGGTGGGCAGACGGAGGCAAGATGGCTCCTGACCTGGACACTTCCTGATGCTTATATGGTTGTGCGGAGACAAGAAGATGGGGTGGGGGAGGAGGAGGTCTGGGCAGGGGCGGGCGATGATCAGTGGGCTTGCTGCTAAACACCACTGTATTTCACAACTATCAGAGTTTTACGTTCACAAACTTAAAAATCTTACAGAAGAATTCCTTTATACGTTGGCATCAGTTTAGAAAATATGATTTTGGTAACTCATAGCATAGCCAAGAAATTTTTAGTTTTGTTTCAGCCTACTGCTTCTGTTCAGAAAGTCATTTCCCTCTGCCCCTAACTGGTAAATCTTATTCATTTTTTTAAAATTCAGCTGAAATGTCACCTAGTTCCTAACCCTTTGGTGATCTACCCTTTTCAATGGCAAAGCAATTACTTTACCATCTCTATTCCTAAAAGGCTGCACATGTACTACCTCTATCATAACTGATCACATATGCTATTATTAATCGCCGGTTGGTCTCCAAAAGTATGTTACCCGCAGTCCTTTTATAAGATGTGTACTTTATATGCAGTCATTTATGTGTTTATGTTTCTGTATAGCAGTTTCCCTCAGTATGGTTTTTGGACTGTGTACATCAGCATAACATGGAATTGTTGATAAAATAAGTGCAAATTCCTAGGCCTTATCTCAGCTTTAATAAATCAGAATCTTAAGAATGAGGTCGAGGGGCCCCTGGGTGGCCCAGTCGGTTAGGCGTCCGACTTTGGCTCAAGTCATGCTCTGTCTCATGGTTCGTGGGTTCAAGCTCCGTATCTGGCTCTGTGCTGACAGAGCCTGGAGCCTGCTTTGGATTCTGTGTCTTCCTCTCTCTCTGCCCCTCCTCATCTTGTGCTCTGTCTCTCAAAAATAAATGTTAAAAGAATTTAAAAAAAAAAGAATGAGGTCAAGAAATCCATATTATAAGAGGTTTCCCAGGTGATCATGTTCAAACTAACATTTGAGAACCTCTGCACTAGACTCTAAGCTCTTGGACTGCAGGGACCAGGGTATATTTTGTATCACCAGTATCTGGCAGTGTCTGGCCTAAAGTAAGTACTCCTACAAATGTTTTTGATAGTAAATTATTGATTTCAAACAGATCACTCCAAATTGATACTTAAAAGCATTTGGCTACTTATTTACAAAGATTTGTCTTGGTAATAAATTCCTCATAGCATGCATGTGAATTTGTTAAAACAGTTCCTTTGACTGCTTCAGAAGGAAGCACCTAGAATTTTTGAAGCTGCTCAAGGCTTTGATGTGAGAATAGGTACCTAATTACAGAGCCAGAAAAAACATTTATCATAAATGGATGGTTTTTCCACAAAAAAAACAAACCCAAAAACAACTTTTAAATCTGACAGAGTCTCAACATAAGTGCATATGAAAAGGATCTAAGCTAGCCAAGGAGTTTTAGTAATAGGATTTAGGGCAAGAGAGGCATATCGATTTTGCATTTTTGGACAAATCACGTGTAATTAAATTTCTGGCTCGAAGATGGCCTCAAACGAAGGTAAATAACCCATTTTGTTCTTCCCAAACCTGTGAGCCCCCAAAAATGAGGAAACATGACTCATGCAACTCTTTTCCCTCGGGGCCCGGCTTCATGCCAACATACTCAACACATGTCTATAGAAAGTGTCTTAATTCATCAGTCATCGACAGCAACTGCACGTGACATTCAGCCTAAAGCAAACTTATTGAAGCAGGTATTACTGGATGCCAATAATGAGCTAATAAAACTACTGATTTTAATGATGTCAAAATTCTCTGCATACACGCCCTAGGAAAATATTACCATGAGACTCAACACGTCAAAAGCGTTATCCTATAGACAATCTTGCAGTTATTTTGGTTAGAGAATGGAGTTGAACTGAAATCAAGATTCCAGGGTTAACACATTCAGCGCTAGGTTTAGAACACAGGATCATACTATGGAGGTTTAGAACATCCGATCATACTATGATGGATGGCTGCGTCCGATCATAGTATGAACTAAGTGGGGTGCCTGTGTGGCTCAGACAGTTAAGCATCCGACTCTTGGTTTTGGCTCAGGTCATGATCTCATGACTCACGAGTTCGAGCGCCACACCAGGCTCTGCACAACCTGTGAAAAGCCTGCTTGGAATTATGTCTCCCTCGCTCTCTGTACCATCCCTGCTTGTGCTCTGTCTCTCTGTCTCAAAAAGAAATACATGTTTAAAAATAACAAGAATAATATGAACCAAGTGAATGATATGCAAAATCTAGTATAAATACAGTTTCCTGAGAGTGTAACAAAACCAAGTAGGTATTTTACAAGGATTGCTCAAAATATACAACACACCCTGAGCTACACTTAAAAAAAATATTATTCACTAGTACATTGTTACAAAAATAACTAAAGTTAACTCATGTCTTTGAGAAGAATCAGGACCACTCTTGGTTTTTTGGTTTTGGAGACAAAATGTAAGACAGCCACTTAAAATGAATAAGTTTACATTATGAGACTGCAAAGATGAATTTTCAGGTACTTAGTAAAGTGCTGAGACAAACTAAAAAAAAAAACAAAAACAAAAACAGTGAGTCATCAATATGGCGCTGTGGCCTTCAGGCTGTCCTTACCCCTCTTTCGCTGTGTTCTGCTTGTGGACAGGTTCTGGGCAGTCTGCACAACACCCAAGACAACTGAGTGATCAGCCGAGGCACTTATGCTGTGGCCTGGCATCCACTCTCGGTCTCCTGATATGGGAAAATGGTAAACTAATTTCAATATTGAAAAGGAGGAAAATTCATGTTATTGCTTTATTTTATTTATTGTCTTCCTGGATAATATTTAGCTAAGCAAGGACCATTCATAACAGTGAGGCATATAAGAGACAGAATCTCATAATGATACAATAAACAACATTAGATTTGCATAGCTTAACAAAAAGAAGCAAACTCTAAATTGCAAACATATTAGACACACACACACACGCGCGCGCGCGCGCGCACACACACACACAAGCACGTTTGAATAGAAACAAATATTTTTTCCAGTATGTAACAAGATAACTTAAAGTATAACAGTTTCTACATGAATAAATACATTTGAATTCTTAGGAAACCTAAGAATATTGGTAACTTTCAGAAGGAAACTACAGATATGTCTCAGAAATCTCACAGAATCTGAGATTTGGAGATTTGCTTTTAAGACGATATTTAGGAATCATCATACAATACTTAACAGTTAATGAAGTGATTCAAAGAATTTCTCTTTCACTATTTAGTAAGGGCTACATTCTAAATTCTAAAAATAATCTTTCCTCAACCTCATTATAGTTATGTCCTCTCACATTCTGAGAATGGCCTCAAACACAAATATGCAGCAACTCACACAGGGTTAATAATTTCAACTGGAGAAGAAAATGACTTTATTCACTGAACAGAATTACCCAGTATTTCCCAAAATGAGGATGAACTGTTTTAAAAAAAGTGTCATAAAACCGTTAGGTTGGTCCACAGGCCATCTGATTTCATGTCTGAATTTACCTGCAGTCGTAATCCTAGTACTGGAATAGCTGCATTCTAAGCTATGAGAAGGAAGTAAGTTGAGTCTCTCATTTTTATCAAAAACAAAGAATCTTTCAAGTCCTTGATATTGTTCAGTTATAGGCTTACTTCTGAGGGCTATTTCTCGTAACAACTAGGAAACAAAATATTCAACAAAATTAAGTTTGCTTTATCTCATCAACACAAAGCAGCACATTCATTCATTGAGCACCTACTTCATTCTTGGCACAGATTCCATCCCCATCAAATTTAGGGTCTAGTAGTGAAGACATAGACAATAACACAACATTTATATATAGTAAAAGTTGTGAAAAACATCTAAACCACGACATAGTAATTATCTGAAAGTTCCATTGATCCAAGGAAGACAGAAGTTCACAAAACAAAATAAAGGGTCTTTTTTCTCCTTTCTTATATTTTATTCCCTTAGTGTCCTCATGTATAAGTTATTCTGGAAAACAGAATGCCCCCTATATGCTGTGCTTTTGCATTAGTATCTTTGCCTGTACAGAAACTAATTTCAAAGATGAAAGCAGAATACTGAGGAAATAAATCTGGTCATAGACAAAATCTAAGTTAACAAAATACTTATTGTGAAGCAGATATGCATGTAGGAAACTGAGGTAAGAGCGAGCAAAGTAACTTGAGAAGTTTATACAGCTAGAAATTAGCAGAATTAGGTTCTGGCTGATTTGAAGCCTGGGATTATTCCCCCACCCTATGAATTCATTTTACGACATGCTTTCATTCTAGGAAAGAATATTAATGGGACTAAAACATACATGAGTCTAGTTAAGAAACAGATTAGAGATTCAGAAGTGAGACTCTAGATGGGCTTAAAATATAATCAGAGTGCTCTCAGTATTTAACAGCTCCCTAAAGGATCTAATTAATGCCCAAGCACAGCCTGTTTGAAGGGAGTAAACAACACAAAATGTATTATAACGTTATCCAAATTTATAAGTCGTATAAATGACAAAATATTACAAAACAAAGATAGTGACCGATGAAGCATCTCCTTCAAAGACAAGTCCAAGTTGGCTCTGCTCATGACATCTTCCCTGGCCCTCCCAGACACTGATTACCAGTTTACAGCACCCTTCAGCTTTAGTGCAGCTCTTAATTGGATTAGACAATTGCCACTCTGGAACCTTTTTTTTGAAGCACCAGTTACCAGATAAGAACAAAGAAAGGGGGGTTGCTTGCTTGTTTCCCAAACTCAGAAAGTTAACTACTGGTGGTTTCCAAGCCAGAACCAAGAGCTCCCAACTAGACCTTGTTCTTCCTGGCACCCTATCCTACCCCACTGCTGCTGCCCTACAACTTGGTACTTCATTCCATAGATTCCACCTTTATGAAGGACTCAATATCTGAAAACTGAAGTGCAGATTCAACTATCTTGCACCCAAGTGGAAGTCAAGAAATTCTACTGCTAAAAACTCTTGCTCACTCTTAAGTTTTCGACTCCAGCAAAAAAATTTTAAAGTAGTCTCTTTAAGTAGCTTAAGGAATGGTTTCTACTAGAGCAGGAAGAAAAATTAAAACAGTTCGTGTCTAGTCACCAGGGATGAAAATAAAGTTGATTCTACCACTGTGTATAAGGCACCATTCTCTATGACATGATCATTTACCAGTTTTGTTTTTTTTTTTTTTACCAATGTAGTATAAGGGATAAAAATATGAGGAGTAGCTTTTTAACATTTCAATTTTAATTATGAAATACTTTAAATATCTAGATATGTAATTGAACATGACTTGATCACACCGTTTAATATCAGTAATTTAAAATTTTGCTTTAGCTATCCATACCAAAAAAATCAGTCTTTAGAGTTAATTGTATTATTGCATTGAAGTGGACATACTCTATTCCAATGCATGTTTTTGACTATTATTATGTCTGAATGTATCCATAAAAAATTATATTTATCTTCAATGTTTCAAAAAATATTGACTTAACTCTAGGTGTCCTTTTATATTTAAATTTTAATCTCATATTTTTGAGATGTATCCATGTAAATAAAAACAGTTCTATTTCATTCATTTTAACTGCTAGATTGCTTTCCATTACACAAATTACCACAGATTACGTATCTGTGAGTTTGGACCAAATGCCTTTTATTAGGTTACGGAAGACAAGGTCTCTCCCTGGGGCAAAGATCAGGCAGGCTTGCACCCAGTACACAAGAACTGGGGTCCATATGCTCAGGATTCCTCTCCCATAGCATAGGACACTGCACATGCGGTGGACATCAGAAAATTAGAGTTCTGTTGCAGAAATTCACTCTATGATTGTTTTTCCTCATTGTGGGAGGTGGAAGAAATGCTCATCTGTGATGAGGCTTTACTTTTGAGAATCTATTATTGGCTAAATTGTGGGAATGTCTTCTAGAAGGGAATGGATTTCTTTTGGCAGACATATGAGGGCATCAATAGACACGGATTAAAATTAATGTTAATTTGTTGACTTGGGGCTTCTAAGTAAGAAATGTATACTTAAACTGTAAACCTACACTCAAAGAAAGCCCAAGATTTCCGATTTTCAGGGAAGGTATTTCTGGACCTGGCCCAGATCCGCTGCAGAAATCAGTTGCCCTTCATCTTGTTGCATCTGTGAGTACATCTCCCAGGGTAGTCCTTCAGTGACTGAGGAGACTTCTAGGGATTACAAGTTTTTGCAAAGATCTCAGCCCAGTTTTGCACTTCAGCAGGGAAGAAGGCCCATCACAAAGTGGGCACAAAAATCCAATCCCCCCAGCAGAAGTGGCAGCAGCTCAACATTCCTTCTTCTATGTTGTTGGTCCCCCCGCTTCAGTTTAGGCACCGCAGAGATTCATTTCAAATGACTTTGAAGGGTTGTTCAAATATCTGACTTGCCTAATTTCCAAAAAATGTATTAGGTAATCATGATTACCTAAGATTTTTAATATATAGAACAGAAATTCAAATACAGTTTCAAAACTTGGCAATAATGCAACAATGAGCTACTTTACTTTTCCTCTAAGATGAAATACAAACTAAACCCATATATCTTTATTAGCCATGTTTTTGAAGGAATTGCCTTTAAAACCTTATACTTACATTAAGCTACAAAAACTGGTTCTATCTACATATCTGCATTTAATTCATTTAAACCCGGGACTATACAGTAAAAAGCTAGAAAGGATTTCTTGTACTAAATTATTCATAATAATAAATTTCATTTAGAAAAGTAACAGCTCTCTTACTATGGTGCATGAGGTGGGCCTTAGAGTGTTATTTGTCATAGAAAACCCGTTTGTTATCATGGCATTTACCATATTAGAATTTGTCCTGTAAGTAATTAGCATTCTTTCCCATAGGAGTCATTCTTCAACTATCTCATGATAATATAAGGTAGCACATTGTAACTTCAATAGGTAGTAATGTTTAAGAATGTATTGTCTTATGACATTTCTTACAGCATTTTTAATATAATAAACATAATAGACACTTACCAGTGGTGACTCTGTAGTTTTAGAATCTTCAGGGTTTGGCCTCTCATGCAGATTGCTAAATTCCAAGGATTCTTTGATGTCCTGAGATAATTGCTCCTTAGTGGAAGGTTTTTCTAAACCTATACTTGGCAAAGAATCCTTGCTGTCAAGTGATATGCAGGAATCATCAGACTTTTGATTACTTTCCATATCTATAGTTTTCTCCTTGAAATTTCTTTCAAAAAAGCTGCTTTCCCCTAACTTTTCAGTAGCAGGAGAATAAACATCAGGATCCACAATGGTGTCAAATTTTGTATCTGAAGTTACTGCTGTTGAAAACAATTATTTATGAAGTTAAATAAATTGATTAAACTGTCAATAAATGAAAACTTCTATGGTGTAAACTCTTATCAATAAGCACTATTTTGTCAACATCTCTTTACTGACATATCAGTGTTAAAATACTTTTACTCTGCTTATGTTCATGAATGATAATCATAATTTACTGATACATTCAAACCTTGATGAGCTAGACTAATGGAAGGAGGCACGATTTTATTTTGTAATGAAATTTTGAAATTGATGCACATTTTTATTTCAGCCTGTGGCTCAAAATTCCCACACTCCTACATCCTCTCTCGGCCAAGTTTTACAATAACAATTTATGAAAAATAATACAGAGAGAACCTTATTTCCGCATTTTGCTTCTCTTCCTTAGAATGGTTAGTGATAAGGTGAGGGCAAAGGGAAATGTGCCAGATGCAAGAGCAGTACCAGTTAGGGGACAGAAAAACCTTTAAGCTGGGACAGCTGCCTCTGGAAAGCTACAAAATGAGCAAGATTATATTAGTCACCACCTCATTATGTCTGCTTTAAGTAAACGACTTGGTTTAGAGCATTGGTTTTCAACCTGGGTGCACAATGGAAGCATCTGAAGGTACTCTTTAAAATTGTCAACGTATGGGGGCGCCTGGGTGGCGCAGTCGGTTAAGCGTCCGACTTCAGCCAGGTCACGATCTCGCGGTCCGTGAGTTCGAGCCCCGCGTCAGGCTCTGGGCTGATGGCTCGGAGCCTGGAGCCTGTTTCCGATTCTGTGTCTCCCTCTCTCTCTGCCCCTCCCCCGTTCATGCTCTGTCTCTCTCTCTGTCCCAAAAAAAATAAATAAAAACGTTGAAAAAAAAATTTAAAATTGTCAACGTATGGACCTGACCCCAACCAATTAAATCAGACACTGGGAGCGGCACTGTTTCTGTCTCCCCCCATCCCACCCCAACCCTGCCAAATTCTTCAGGTGATCATAATGTGCAGCCAGGACTGTGAAACACTGGTCTAAATTTTATGAAAAATAAAAATTATTTAATAATTTTTATATCATACTGCATTCATTTTAAATAAAAATATGTATATCATTATCCAGATTGAATATAGCTTCATCTGATTGTCCCTATATTCTTTCCAATATAAATATCTTATCTCTATAAATAGATGGTATAAAATAGTAAAGGCTATGACTAAAATACTCTCCAGTGATGTAAATTCTGCCTTGCTGCTCAAAGGACTTACTCGTTGCAATCAAATGTTTGTATAGCTGGGCAATTACACATAGCATTTAGAACTTCCATTTCCAACAACTATCACTTCTTAAATCACACAATTACTACAAGAAAGGCAGTTACTTATACAACACAGAAATACTTTTACAAGAAAAATTTTATAAAGGCTCTTCAATTTAATGAAACTTGCACAATAATGCTGTATTTTCCTTGAAAGCTTGAATAGAAATTAGTTGATTTTATGGTACAAAGAGATGACATTTTCTTTCTTTTTTTTTAATTTTTTTTAACGTTTATTTATTTTTGAGACAGAGAGAGACAGAGCATGAACGGGGGAGGGGCAGAGAGAGGGAGACACAGAATCTGAAACAGGCTCCAGGCTCCGAGCTGTCAGCACAGAGCCCGACGCGGGGCTCGAACTCACGGACCGCGAGATCTTGACCTGAGCCGAAGTCGGCTGCCCAACCGACTGAGCCACCCACACGTCCCAAGAGATGCCATTTTCTATATGTAAATGTCTACAACTAACCTCTGTAATATTTTTGCAAGATTGCATAATTCCACTACTGCTGAAGAGGTAACAAAGCAGCCTTTTTATTAATCTTTAAAATCTGATGCAAAAAATAGAGGTGCGATTTAATTTAGTCTATTCAATGGAAGTCCCATTAAGTCATAAAAACTAGACATCTTGGTTCAACATTTGAAAGTTAATCTAATCTGTTACATCAACAGGCTAAAGAATAAAAATCACAAGATCATATCAATAGATCCAAACCAGAAATAAAAGGGAACTTCCTCAACTTGATAAAGACTATCTATAAAAAAGCCCTATAGTTAACATCATACTTAATGATGATAAACTAGATGCTTTATCCCTAAGATCAGGAACAAGTCAAGGATATCCCCTCTTACAACTCCTTTCCAAAATCCTTCTAGAAGTTCTAGCTAATGCAATAAAACAAGGAAATAAGTATACGGATTGGGAAGCAAGAAAAAAATCTAATTTCATTCACAGATGACATGATTGTTTATGTACAGAATCTGAACAAATCCACAAAAAAAACTTCTGGAACTAATAAGTGATTATTTCAAGGTTGCAAGATACAAGGTCAAGATACAACAATCACTTTCCTATATACCAACATGAATAAGTGGAATTTGAAATTAACAACACAATACCATTAGCACACAAATATGAAATACTTAAAAGAATGAAATATGTAAGATCTATATGAGGAGAAACTAGAAATCTCTGATAAAAGTAATCAAAGAACTAAATAAATGGAGAGATAGTCCATGTTCACAGCTAGAAGACTCAATATTGCAAAAATGTCAGTTCTTCCCAATTTGATCTATAGGTTCAATGCAATCCCAATTAAAATCCCAGCAAATTATTTTGTGGATATTCATAAACTGATCCTAAAGTTTATATGAAGAGGCAAAAGACCCTGAAAAGCCAACACATTGGCTTTTGAAGGAGAAGAATTGAAGGAGAAGGACAATGTCAAAGACCAACGCTACACAACGTCAAGAATTACCGTGCAATTATATACCCAAGACAATGTGGTACTGGTAAAAGTATAGAAAAACGTATCAATGGTACAGAACTGAGAACACATAGATAGCCCCACATAGATATAGTCAACTGATCTTTGCCAAATAGCAAAGGCAAAACAATGGAGAACAGTGTTTTCAACAAATGGTACTAGAACTGGACATTTGCATGCCCGCACATTAATCTGGAACAGACCTTACTCCCTTCGCAAAAATTAGCTCAAAAGAATGGTAGACCTAAATGTGAAATGCAAAACTTTAAAACTCTTAAAACATAAAAATCTAGATGATCTTGGGTATGGTGATGACTTTTTAAGACACAGACCAAGGGCAGGATCCATGAAAGAAACAATTGATAAGCTGAATTTCATTAAAATTAAAAATCTGTTCTGTAAAAGACACTGTCAAGAGAATGAGAAGACAAGCCACAGACTTAGGATTTGCAAAACACATATTTGATAAAGTACTGTTATCCAAAACATTAAAAAATCTAAAATCTGAACAGTAAGAAAATGGGCCAACGAACTTAATAGACACTTCATCAAAGACGATAAATAGATGGCAAATAAGCATATGAAAAGATGCTCAACATCATATGCCTTTAGGGAATTGTAAGTTGTTAAAACAACAATGAAATCCATTCCGCTATTGCTGGAATGACAAAAATCCAAAACACTGACAATACCAAATGCTGGCAAGGATGTGGAGAACAGGAAGTCTCATTCATTTTTGGTGGGAATGCAAAATGGTACAGCCACTTTGGAAGACAGCTTGGTGATTTCTTACAAAACTAAACATGTTCTTGCCATAGGATCTAACAATTGCACTCCTTGGTATTTACCCAAATGAGTTGAGAATTATGTTCAAACAAAAACTCACACATGGATGTTTATATTTATAGCAGCTTTATTCATAATTGCCAAAACTTAGAATTAACCAAGTTGTTCTTCAGTAAGTGAATGTATAAATAAATTGTGGTATCTCCAGACAATAAAATATTACTTAGCACGCACACACACACACACACACACACACACACAAAAGGATCAAGGCTCCTGGGTGGCTCAATCAGTTAAGCCTCTGACTTCCACCCAGGTCATGATCTCACAGTTCATGGGTTGGAGCCCTGCATCTGGCTCTGTGCTGACAGGTCAGAGCTTGGACCCTGCTTTGGATTCTATGTCTCCCTTTCTCTCTGCCCCTCCCCCCACTCAGGCTCTCTCTCTCTCTCTCTCTCTGAAAAGTAAACATTTTTTAAAAATGATCAATCAAGTCACGAAAAGACACGGAGTCACCTTTAAGTGTATATTACTAAGTGAAAAAAAACAATCTGAAAAGATCTCATGTTGTATCATTCCAGCTATGTGACATTCTGGAAAAGGCTAAATCATAAAGATAGTAAAAATATCAGTGGTTGCCAGGAATTAGGTGGGAGGGAGGTAATATAAAAAGGCAGGGCACAGGGGCGCCTGGGTGGCGCAGTCGGTTAAGCGTCCGACTTCAGCCAGGTCACGATCTCGCGGTCCGTGAGTTCGAGCCCCGTGTCAGGCTCTGGGCTGATGGCTCAGAGCCTGGAGCCTGTTTCCGATTCTGTGTCTCCCTCTCTCTCTGCCCCTCCCCCGTTCATGCTCTGTCTCTCTCTGTCCCAAAAATAAATAAAAACGTTGAAAAAAAAATTAAAAAAAAAAAAAAGAAAAAAAAAAGGCAGGGCACAGAGTATTTTAAAGGTACTAAAACTATTTCTTTATGATACTATAATGATGAATACAGGTCATTATAAACTTGTCCAAATCCACAGAATGTGCAACACCAAGAGGGAACCCTTGTGAACTATGGACTTTTGTTGATAATGGTGTGTCAATGCATGTTTATTGATTGTAACAAATGTACTACTCTGGTTGGGACATTGATTGGGGGAGAAGCTATGAGTTTGAGAAGGCAGAGTGTGTGTGTCTGTGTGTGTGTCTGTGTGTGTGTGTGTGTGTGTATAGGAACAATCCGTATTTCCTGCTAAATTTTGCTGTGAACCTACAATTTCTCTAAAAAATAAAGTCTATAAATAAATCAAGCATCTTTAAAGTCACACTTTTTTTTTAATGTTTATTTTTAAGAGAGAGACAGAGAGACAGAGCAGGGGTGGGGAGGGGCAGAGAGAGAGGGAGACAGAATCTGAAGCAGACTCCAGGCTCTGAGCTGTCAGCACAGACCCCAAGGTGGGGCTCGAACCCACGGACCACAAGATCATGACCTGAACTGAAGTTGGATATTTAACCGACTGAGCCACGCAGGCTCCCCTTAGGTAACACTTAATGGATATTTATATTCAGCATTTCCCCAAAGGTAACTGGGACACAATGTTCCATGTAGATCAAAAAATATCTTCTGGACTAGGTCTGGAGCCCTGTAAAGTCCTAAATTCCCACGTGGATATAGCTCATAGTTGGTCATAATAATTTATAGGCTTATGGGCTGAAGATGTCAAGTCCAGCAGGATGACCACAAATCACAGTTCTCTACCATCTACTACCCAATCAGAAGGGAATCATCAGTTTTATAACTAGCTATTTTAAATAATGCTCTCAAGTATCTCTCAAGTCCTTCACACAAGATATATTTATTAGTTTTTCTGAAAATACTAAATAGATTAGAAATAATATTTGAAAAGCAGATTAGAAGTAATCTAATTCCTATGTTTTAGCTTAGGAAAATGCGATCTAAGAAAGCAGTGACATGTTCAAGGTCACACAATGATTTAAGGCAGAAATGGAAATGAAATCTGACTTCCAAGCCAGGATAATTTACTGTGACTATCTTTAAATGGTGCTCTCACCATCTGGAAATTGAAACCAGACATTTGCACACAGCATCCTAATCTATAAATTCCAAGGCAACTACTAGTAATAATGTAGATATATAAACAGGATGGTTTGTTTTGGTTTGGTTTTATCACTTATGTAAAACTTTACATCAAAACTGAATATTTGGGGAGAAGATTTAACGCAAGGGAGGGCAACAGGATGCCAATTAGATTTTTGTCACTAAAGGCATATCCATGTAATCTTTTAAATGCTGCTTTCTCAGTCCATAATAACTTTTAGAGGTAGCAACCAACACAGGCAGTTTTTTTCTTCTGGATACACTGTTGTCCATTGACTGAAAAGGGTATTTGCTAGAAAACTATATATTTTCAACCAAGGTTTTCTAAGCACCAAATTTTGTGGGGTTTAAATGAACAGCAAAATAGGTAAAGCTTTTACATAGTGAAATACCTACCTGGTTTTATTAAATTACCAACATTCATTGTTAATCATGTTGATCCATAAGAAAAAAAAAAGTTACCTTTTGAGTTATTTTTACAGGAGGAAGAGCTGTTGTTCAGATGAAGATGTAAGAGGTCTGCTTTTCCCTTGGTGAAAACATGATGTTGATGAATGTCATTTTCATATAGAAAAGTATTCTGATAATTATGAAACGTGCAACTTTCATGTTTAGGGACAGCAAAAGAAAAGAGTTGAAAGAAAGGATAAAAAAAGAAAGTAAAAAGTCCCAGCTTATTAAAACAAATACAATACAACCTTTAAGGAATAGGTTTGTTTACATTAATTTAATATTTTTTTAACCTTACTGTGGACACATTCTAAACCACAAGTAACTAAATAGTATTTGGGTTTAAAGACACAGGTAACTGGACCAAATCAGATTTAACTGACCAATGTCAACAATGTCAATTAAGAGCTTCCTTAAAAAAATATTCTAGGGCACCTAGTGCTTCAGTCAGTTGAGCATCTAATGCTTGATTTCCGCTCAGGTCATGATCGCAGGGTCAGAGGATCGAGCTCCTCATGTCAGGCTCTGTGCTGAGTGTCGAGCCTGCTTAAGATTCTCTCTCTCCCCCCCTCTGTCCCTCTCCCCCTGCTTGCGTGCACACACACACACACACACACACACACTCTCTCTCTCTCTCTCTCTCTCTCTCTCTCTTTAAAACAAACATTCTGAAATATGTTTGGTTCCTTATATTCTTTCTTCTAAAAATGGAGAGTTACCTTTTCAAGCTCATTGAAATCTGATGAAATCAAGGTTTTAGTACTTACATAAACTTTTCATTTGAACTATCAGAGTCAAATTTTCAGTTTTTAATGATGATTACTATATACTAACATATGTACAATTTAAACATTTTCTATAAATTGAATAATATATTTAATAATACCCGATATTTATGTAAGCTTTACATAGCACCACCATAAAAGCTCCTGGATTATGCTCCTGTGCCACTTATGATCCTTTATGATTCTTCTTAGGAAAGAAGAAACTCCATGGACACCTCCAAACCCAAAGTGCAAAACTACTGCCAAACCATCATCAGTAACTTTCTCTGGCTTCTATAACATGGTCAAAGCAGAACTTGTGATAGGATATATAAAGGAATCAAATTAGAGAGCATAAATGTCATTCATTTCCTTAGGTAATCCATACAAATCTCTTATCTACTGACCAAAAGGTTGTCTCCTGCCAAAAGCACATTTGTTTCTAGATATGTGAGTCTATGTGTTCAAACATGGGGCTTTTCAGGTCCAAGAGCATCACTTAGGCCCACTGCTATTCCAAAATGCTGACATATAAACAAATAAGTTGATCTGAACATATAAACAAAAAATGGGGTTGGGGCTACTTAGTAGGAACTTCACTCTGCTGTTTGCCCAATTTAATACTTTGTAGTCAAAATACATGAAACTCTAGCTAAGAGTTCAACAGCAAAGGAGACTTGGCGTACTTTTTAACATTACTAACAGAGCTAGATGTTATTTTTCACTTGGAAATGACAAAATTATAAAAATAGTTACAAAGTGAACTGTTATGCTTCATGCTTCATTTATTTAATTTATCACATAGTAAACTCTACCTAGAAAGTAATCTATAGTCTGGGACATCTTTTTATCTCTCAAACTAATCATTAATATATCTGTTTTTATTTAGGGTTCATAGAAAATGGAAATACAAAGAAAGCTCATACGAAATATATCACCCTTGGTAAGCCATTTCAAATAATAATGCTAAATTTAGAAGTATCTATTAAATAATCCAGATATTAGGTAAGAGTATACACATATCATTATAGTCACTTTTCTAATTATTGAATATTGGCAAATGTTAGAAATATTGTGCACAAATTTAAACATGGCTTTAGTAAAATATATTCTAATATCGAAGTCATGTTTTTTACACCACAAATTTCTCATTTAAAGAGATAGTTGAATCGCTTCTCAGCCTTTTGGCTAAGATCAAGTGTAAAGAGATAGTTGATTTCTTGGGTAGGTTTTTAATAAACATCAAAAGCGATTTAGAAAGATCTTACCTTTGTTGACTGTCTACATCTGCTAACTCAACTTTGTAGGGCACTGTGTTTCCAGGTTCTTCAAATTCCTCTTCATAAGTCTTATTAAATGTATGTAGTATAATATTAGTATGTTCAATAAATGTATTATACATTAACCATCTAACTTGTACATAATATTTAGAGAATTTTCTCCCTACAAGCAATGTCACGTGCTTTCTGACTATGTACCATAGAACAATTCCAGGAGAACTAACGCAATAAATATTTGTTGGGGGCATTGGCTGGGTCAGTCATGTCATTACTACTATCACACCTAGAAACAACAGTTAACAGGTGTTTTACTATGTAACTACTGAGTGCAAAGTAGGCTAGTGACTGAGGTATTTTTAGTTCTCTGGCCAGCATATTACAAGGTTACTCTGTGCATCAACTAATTAATGCCAAGAACACACACACATATGTAAGCATGTGTGCTTATTTGTTCAGTATCTTAACAATTTATCCAGAGGGGAAAGAAAAATGTGGCTAGGAGCATGCGCGCATACACACACACACACACACACACACACACACACACACACACACACAGCAGAAGCTATTAACCTGAAGAAGAAAGTAGTATTTAGAGAGGTACTTCCTCCCTTCTAGCCTTTTTCTGTGACAATCACAGGAAGAGGAATATCGAGGACAAGTAGTACATTCAGCTACTAGATGACTGGAAAATCAGAAATGTGCTGAGTTTGTCCCAACTTAAACCTTCATCCTAAAGCTCCAGCTCTGACTGGCTCAACTTTCAGGTGATTCTATTTTGTGTCTTCTAGAGTTTATATTCAAGTTATTACACTAAATCCCTTAAATTTTAGTACTATTTTTTCTTTAAATAAAAAATAATACTCGATGACATTCAAGAAACTACATATATACAAATTATATTAAATAGACACCATATAAGAAGATCAATTTTTGTTTAAAAGACTGATAACATAAAGGGCTAAATAAAACAAGCACTAAACTACATTTCTATAAGCTAAGAGAATAAAATGTCTTCTCATCTCCCACACTACATGTTTCCAAAAATAGCACAATATCAATTCAGCTCACAAATTTACTGCCTACATTAAAAACCATACCATTTTATTCCTATCAGCATGTTTAAATTCAAACTCTTGTAGATTTTTCCCCAACAATGCTTAATTAAAAAATATTGTTGAAAATAATATGTAGTTATAACTATATGTTTTGAATTTCTTGTTTGCTAAGTAATAGGGTAGTCATTATACACTTACATCATCCAGTTCAACTATATTTAGAGATGGCTCGGGTCTCTCTATGTTAAATTCTTCTACTGGCAGAAAAAGTGCTGAGTATTGTTTGGTCTCCTCAACTAGGAAATAAGATTAGGAAATAATGTCATTAAAGGATATACTTCACCTGATAATTCCCTATCTTCAAATAACATAGTCAACAATAAGAGAATAACGTTCTCTTGTGCACCCACACTAATACATATATGCTGTCAGTTTCCCGAGCTCAAGTAAAACACACATTTTCTTAACATTTAACGTTTAAGTACAACCATTTAGGGATGCCTGGGTGGCTGAGTCAATCAAGCATCTGACTCCTGATTTCAGCTCAGGTCATGATCTCACAGTCGGGGACTGAGCCCTGCATTGAGCTCCGTGCTCCACCAGGCACAGAGGGATTCTCCTGCTAGGGATTCTCTCTCTCCCTCTTTCTCTGCCCCTCCCCTGTTCACACTTTCTCTCAAAATAAATAAATAAACTTAAAAAAACCAACTATTTAATTTAAGGCAAAGTAAATCTATCAAATGGGAAGGAGAGTGAGCTTGATTTCGAGCTACAGATAAAGGGTGCAGAGTCCAGTTGAGGGTAATATAGTAAAACGAAACAAAACAAAACAAAACAAAAAAGCAGATGCTAACAAATGCTTAGTGTTTGAAATTTGAAATAATAAATGAGAAAATATCTAATCAAGACTGAACTAACCATCACTGTCTTCATCACTTTCATTCTGGGAACACTGTGCCTCACCAGCAGTGTTACATTGAGGTATGAATGCATCTGGCAGCATGTTTCGAAGTTGCTCCTGTGGAGTTCTACAGAACGAGAAGCAATGAAAAGACTAAAATAAATTACCTGAAACTTTCCCAGGCAAGACCTTGATTTATTTCACAAATGAATGAGCATATAAAACTAATGATGAAACCAAAGCTATACTTCTGATTCATGGAAGAAAAGTATGACTGTGTAACAGAGTCTTCATCTATTAAAATAATTTCATAAATCAAATTAACATCATACAAGGGTTTTCAATTGCATGTCCTACTGTTTTTCATTTAGATGAAAATCAAAGTTAAGACAAAAGTAAGTGTTCCTACAAGCCACATGGAGTCCCTGACATACCACACTATTTAAAAAGTTAATTTGTGAATGTGTGTTGTGCATCACCATTAGGTATTATGTTGATAGGTCCCAAGGCAAACTAAAGACATTTTCCTGAACTTTAACCAAGCCAGCAGGGTGATAAAATATGCTTTCCCAATATTAATGTAGTGTGTTCCAGCTATGGCATCTATCACCCAGTTAATGAAGTTTGATATGGCCCATCTCGTATAGAAGGCAACAAAACACAGGAATTCTCAGAGGTCAGGATTATGCATTGGTTTCATAGGCTATTCCCCAATTCCTGGTAAGGTGGCACCTTTTAGTCAAGAATATAAATAGCTACAGCCCTTCCAGACCATGCCAGTTCATGGAGTCTCCGTGTAAAAGTCAGGACCTTCTTAATGATATTAACAGGTAGCATTGACACAAAGCTTAAAATGTACAAGGCTCTGTTCTAACGAATCTGGGGTATTAAAGATTAACAGCTCTATTAATTAGGCATGCGTGTTATCTTAATTTTACGTATGAGAAAACAGGCACGAAGAAGTAAACCAACTTGTACAATTATTTAGGTAGTAAATACAGAAGAGGATTTGAACCCAAGGAGTCCGCCTCCTCAAGTCAATGTTCTTAACCATTACTCTGTATGGCCTCTCTCACAATTTGCAAAGGCAGTAAGATTTGATAACCTGACAATCTATGGCTATGTGAATTTTCCCAATATATATAATGTATATATCAGAACACTCCAAAATATTTATATATTACTCAGCTTTTGTCTTGACAAATTTGATGAGCGTACCATCTTACATCTATCATTTAATTAAGTAATGGAAAATATAAAGAGTAAAGGTCAAAACAAACTGGCACGTGGCCACCAGGAACCTGTTTCCAGTTTGACACGGATATAGTATACAAAAAGTTCAATCATAGATGCACGTAAGTTTACTATTATTCAGATACTCCTTCTTCGTGAAGTAAAAATATATTTAATTTCATGAGCAAAGCCCTGAACCAAAGGCTTATAGAATCTAGGCAACAGAGTACTGGAGCTATTGACTGTTTATTCTAAATTCAGTATTTTGCAGATGAGAAAACATAGACCAAGAGAGTTTAAATGATCTGCCCATGAACAAACAACTAGTTACTCAATGAAATAAGTCTGTATTCTGGATATTGGGACCCTGGCACCAGTGCTTGCTCGAAAGATCATGCCATGTAAATAAAAGGATGAAATGTCTCTTAGAGTAAGACTCCCTCACCAGATTTTCCTGAAAATGTAAACAAGTATTTATTGAACGCAGACTAACTGACAGGTACACACTAATGAGCTTCAGACCTAAAAGACTGGTACAGGCATGACACTTTATAAGAGCTACAGGCAGCTTGGACAGCAGTTCCATAGGAATAACTAGACTAGAACAGTATATGAATGAACCATAGGCCACAACAGGATACAACCATACACCTCGGAAAATGACCAGCACCAAACAAACAAACAAACAAAAAACTCCAAAGATACCAGGCACTGGCAAAGATGGAGGGTAACTAGAACTCATACATTGCAGGAAGGTGTGGAAGCTGTGCAGTCACTTTGCAGACAGGGTCTGGCGGTATATTTATAAAGATAAATATACACATAGCAATCTAGCCAGCCCGGCCCAGGTATTTACCCAAGGAATTAAAAACTGATATTCAAACAAAAACCCATTTGCAAATGTTTCTAACAGATTTAGTCGTAATTGTCAAAAGCTAGAAATCAGCAGGATGTTCTTCAACAGATTAATGGATAAACTGTACATCAGGATGATGAAATTCTGGCCCACAATAAAAAGGAATGGATTTTGATTCACTGAAGAGCACGGATGGCTCTTAAATGCATTTTGCTAAATAAAGGACACACAAGGCTACATTATTGTATGATCTCACTTACATGACATTCAGAAAAAGGCAAATGTATAAGGATGGAAATGGATCAATGGTTGCCTTGTGTTGGGGAAGAAGTGTTGACTATAAAGGGGAAGCAAAAGGGAATTTGGAGCTGATGGGACTGTGCTGTTTGGTGCTATGATGAATATTTGACTCCACGCATTTGTAAAAATCCATAGAACTGTACACAAGTTTATGCTATTCAATTTTTAAAAAGTACTCAGGATGTGGACATAACCCAGGGAATGGCAGAGCTACTCTAATGGAGGTAGGAAAGAAATGAGCACCATGGCCTCAGAAACTTTGGAGAAAAAGTTTTTGACTAGATACTGTAGGCTAAAGATAAAAAACACCACATACAAATAATGCACTCTAGTTGGTAAATTTGTTTCTCACAGTAATATTAGTTTGAAATTCTGGAACAACTGTACACACACACACACACACACACACACACACACACGGGCTGATAAATGAGTAAATATATCATAGATAATGAGAGGCAGGGTTCCCATTGTAGGTGAAAGTAACCACAAATAAGCAAAGAAAGGATGTGATGCTGGTTTGGAGTCAAGTAGGAGTGCACTTCATGTTTACCTCAATAGATACCCAGGTATATAGATACAGAAATAAATTTGGCTATGTGAGTATAGTGGTAAGTACACATACATATATTTCCTAGATGTTCTCTGAGATGAAATAGGCTCTGTGTTACCTGTGTAGCCATGAGCACCTCTATAATCTAGATCTTGGTTTCTTAATACCATTTTCAAAAAAAAGGAATCAAGATTACTTGGAGAAGTTATTTCCGGGCTAGGGCACAGAAATGCATGTTTGGTGCCAGAAAAATGAAGGTATATTAAAAGCAAACAAATCAACAAACAAAAAAGGATGAGGATGCATTGAAAGAAGAGGGGAGTCAACCTGAAACAGCTCTCAGGGGTCAAGGCAGGAACTATTTGAGTCACAAAATAAATAACAATAGTGTTTAATATTAATTAAAAAATGCATATCCATGAGTCCACACAAATACAACAAATGAAAGGGGAAGTAGGGATATTCTTCCTTGAAGAATTCTAATTAATAAATATAGAAGAAATGAAGGAAATAGAAAATCACTAGTTATTCTGCTGCTGGAAAATTCCACAGGTAAATACTAAAATTAGTAGAGGAGAGTTTAGGTAAAAAGAAGATTTTGTATCATCTCAAGGCATCTCCCCTAAAACATTTATTAATCACTCTGATATGAATGTTTGTGCCCCCTCTCAAAATTCATGTGTGAAAATCCCAATACATAATGTGATGGCATTAAGAGGTGGGGTCTGTGGGAGGTAATTAGGTCATGAAGGCACAGCCCCCATGTGGGACTGATGCCCTTATAGAAGAGTTCCGAAAGAGCCACGTGAGGACACAGCCAAATAGATGCCTCCAGGAAGCAGGTTATCACTAGGCTCTGAGTCAGCCAGTGTCTTGACCTTGGACTTCCGACCTCCAGAATTCTAAGAAATACATTTGTTGTTTACAAGGCATCCAGTTTATGTTATTCCATTGCAACATCCCAAATGGACTAAGAAAGAAGCTGGTACCAGAAGTGGGGTGCTGCTAAAAATGTGGAAGCAGCTTTGGAACTGAGTGACTGAAGCTGAAAGGGGTTTAAAGTTCATACTAAAAAAACCTTATATAGCTGTGAAAGAAACTTTAAAGGCAATTCCAGTGAGGACTCCAAAAAGAGGAGAACTGAGGAAAAGCCTCAATCTTCTTACAGAATATCTAAGTAATCCTGAACAGAGTATCAGTAGAAATAGGGATGGTAAACACCATCCAGCTGAGGTTTCAAATGGAAATAAGGAACATGTTATTGGACAGTGGAGGAAAGGCAATTTTAATTAATAAAGCTGCAAAGAACTTGGCTGAATTGTGTTTGTGTCCTAGTGTTTTATGTAAGATAGAACTTAAGAGGGATGAAATTAGTTATGTGGCTAAGGCAATTTCTAAGCAAAGTATTGAAGGAAAGGCTTGGATTCTCTTGACTGCTCATAGTCAAACGCAAGGGTGAAATGACTTAAAGACAGAATTGTTAGTCAAAAGAGAAACAAAACTTAAATATTTGGAATAGTATCAGAATTTACACATTGAAAAGAATGAGAGGGCCTATTCAGGAGAGAACAGGAAGTGTATGGCCAAATGGTCATCTGATAGGAAGATTAGCCATCTAAATAGAAGGCACATTTTCCACTGTCAGGGATAATGGAAAAATGACCTCCAAAGGCAATTCAAAACTCATCGGGGCTATACCTCCCATCCCAGGCAGAGAAAGCTGCAGGCCACACAGCAGGGAGACCCCATTAGAGCAATGCCCAGTGAACCTCTAGGGGCAAGGATGCCCCTGTAACACCAAGCTAGCCAAGCCACATGATTCCCACCCAAGAAAGTCACAAGCATGTGACCCCACACAGAACCATCATAGGAATGGGGCCAACCAAAGCCATGGGGGCAAAGCCACCCAGAGCCTTGGGGTCCCAGCCTTGCCTAGTAAAGCTGTGGAGGCACTGCCTCAGTGTGTGTGAAAGGCAGGACCCCTGCTCTAGTGTGTCTGGAAGGTGGGACCTCTATCTCAGTGGGCCCTGGAGTGCAGAGCATCGATGGAGAGGCTAATTCTCAAGACTTAAGGTTAAATAGAATTTGCTTTATTGGGTTTTAGACTTGCTTAGAATCTGCTACTCCTTTCTTCTTTCCTATTTCTCTCATTTGGAATGGAAATATCTATCCCATGCCTGTCCCACCATTGTACTTTAGAAGCAAATAACGTGTTTGATTTCATAATTTCACAGTTAGAGAACAATTTGCCTCAGAATGAATAATACATTGAATCTCACTCATATCTGACTTAGATGATATTTAGATGAGACTATGAACTTTAGACTTGAGATGATGCTACAATAAGTGAAAATCTGGGGGCTGTTAGAATGGAACGAACATATTTTGCATATGAGAAGTTCATGAACCTTGTTGGGGCCAGGGCAGAAAGCTCTGTTCTGAATGTTTCAAGTGTTGTAACCCTAACTCCAAAGTGATGGTATCAGGAGGTGGGCCTTTGGGAGGTGATCAGGTCATACGGATAGAGCCCTTATGAATGGGATTAGTGCCCTTGTAAAAGAGATCTGAAAGAGACCCCTTGTCCCTTCTGCCATGTGAGGACACAGTGAGAAGATGGCCATCTATGAACCAGGGAGCTGTCTCTCTCCAGATACTGCATCTGCTGGCACCTTTATCTTGGAATTTCCAGCCTTAAACACTGAAAAATGAGTGTTTGTGTTTATAAGCTACCTGGTCTATGGTATTCTGTATAACAGCCCAAGACCTTAATTACAAAAGGAAAAGAATGAGTGTGCAGCAGAGCAATTCAGTGAGCACCACGTTAACCATGGGCTCAAGGTTAACATCCTGGTAATAAGATGCACTGACAGCATGATCCTGTGATCCCACACTGAGAAGGGCACATCCTCTCTGTGTTATTCTTCCTCCAAATGCATAACCTCAATCTAATTATGAAAAGGCATCAGATAGACCCAAGTTGAGTATATTCTATAAAAAATCTGGCAAGTACTCTTTAAAAAATGTCAGGGTCTTGAAAGACAAGAAAAGACTGAGGAACTATAATGGATAAGGAGCTATGACAAAAAAAAGGCAATGTGAGATCCTGGATTGGATCCTGAAGTAGAATAAGGACAACAGTAGAAAAACTGGTGAAATCCAAATGAAGTCCGTAGTTTAGTTAATAATATCGTACCAACGTTAATTTATTGGATTTGATACATGCACTATGGATATGTAAGATGTTGCCATTATGGGAAGCTGAATGAACGATATGTGGGAAATCTTCATACTGTTTTACAACTCTTCTGTATGCCCTATTTCGAAATAAATTTTTTAAAAATTTGCCACATGAAAAACAGTTAAAGGGGGCATGGGGGCATATATTAACCTGTCAAACAGAAACTTCAAGGAAGACATGAGGGCTGATTTCAAAAATCTGAAGGAATGCCTCGGAGAGGAGGAATTCAAGTTGCTCTGTATTGGCTTAATTGGTAGAATTGAGACCATGTTTAGAAACCAGTCGGAAACAAATTACAGCTCACTAGGAGATACTACAACAGGGAGAATGTTCCAAAAATGGAATGGGCCATTCCAGGAGATAGTTTTGTATGAATGAAGGTGAAGCAAGGGCTTAATGACCCCTCCTCAGGTACATTCTAGACTGGTCCTCCAACACCTTGCTCCTCAAAATGCAGAATTACCTACACAAATATCAGCTGAGAGCTGTTAGAAATTCAGAAATGCAGAGTGCCAGTCTCCACCCAGACCTACGGAAGAAGAATCTGTATCTTGCCACAGTCGGCAGGTGATTCATCGGCACAATGAAGTGTGAACAGTACTACTATAGGGCACAGTGAGCCTTTAAAGGTACCTCCCAATACAGATCTTATATGACCATAAAACAACTATGAATGACTCTAACATGTAATTAGTAATAATTTTAGTCCAATATTTAATAGCCTGACTTTTAAACAATTTATGAAATGTCACAGCTAATGATATACTCTTTGAGTAAAATAATTGAATACTGTTAATAACACTATAACATTAAAGGTATAATTAAAAGTAGATTCTGAAAAATAGAGCCTCACAAGTCTATGCTAATGTAAAAAATGAGAGCAATACCTTTTCAAAGTAATCTTTCATTGATTGCATTATTTTTGCTATTATTCTTAAATTCTATACCATATTTGTGTCTTTTTCTCACATACAAATTTGCATTTTTTATAGCAAACTCTAAATGAATGATGCATCACATACATAAATAAAATTTAAATCCTTATTAGAACAGTAGAAGCTTCATAGGGATTTAATATTGCTTTAAAATTATTTATGCAAATGTGAAGCACACATATAAAACTGCTACAAAAAAGCATGTCACACAAGCCAGGAACATAAACAGCTTTTATATTTCTTATTTATAATGCAAAATTTCAGAAAATACCTTCTGTGTTTTTTAAGCCATAATTTTTCCATATACGAAAGACTGTCTTCTTTAAATTCAATATTGAGTGGTTCTCTCCAAATTTTCAGATTAGTTTGTACTTCACATTCTCCCAATGAGTCTATAAAAATAAGTATAATGTGCAAAATTAATGTAAACTTGTCTATAAATTACCATGTCTCTCAAGATATACCAGTCACCAATTTCAAAGCAAATATGCTTTGATATTTATCTATGTAATCAATAGTTCTAGGCTTAATAAATGCACAAGTATTAAATGTTAGCAATTTATTAAAGGACTGTATAGACACTTTTCTTCAATAATCCCTTGAAATGAAAGAATCTTATGATTCATAACATTTTTAAAAGCAACTAATTATTTTAAATGATAAAGATAAATACAAGCAGATTCATTATATATTCTATAAATGCACACACACATAAAGGTATGTATCATAGCCACTGACAATAATATTTACACATTACGGGAAATGGAAAATAAATAACTCAGAATGGCACCTGGAGGAGACAACTGTCCTCATGAATTTATATCTCCATGGCAATTCACTTCCAGATGCTTAAGATGTTTCTGAAGTACTACTAAATTAAAACCATTATTCAGAGATATTTAAAACTGATGGAGTTTTTGGGAAAGAAAGCAGTATAAATCCAGGATTACCAGTCTTTCCACCCTCTTAGATACTACCCATCTCTCCAAACTGACCATCCTGTTGGAGGAGAAGAAAGAGAAGTAGTAAGGATGGGAAAAATTATTTTCGAAGACTGAACCTAGAGAACAGTCCCAACCTCATACCATAGCCTTTAGTGAATAGCTTCCAGAAATAGCCTAATACCAGCAAGAGAAATAAACCAAAAGAATGTAAGTCACACTATCTCTATTCTCCCCACAAAGTAGAGCTGTGTTGAAGAAAGCAATCGGAGGAAATTCTGAGAAACACCATCAGAATGCACTAAACTGAAAGAAAAGAAGTTAAGGACATGAACAAAAGGAGATCCCCCCACTACAGGTTCCCCTTTTCCAGGGCAAAACAAAGTATTTCTTGACAGGATAGCTGAAACTAAAAATGAGGACTCGCTTTTTTGTTTGTTTGTTTGTTTAGTCATAGAGAAGAGCCACTGTGCTTGAGAGATGATCCCCTAGATCTGTCAGGTGATGAGTAGGAAGAAGGTATAGCATCTGGCCTGGGATTCACCCTTCTCCCATTATCAACGGTACATTCCCAGGAAATAAAGATGGTGGGTGACCAGGGTTAGTTTGCTTGTTAAGATGTTAATAACGGGGCACCCGGCAAATAGATTAATGATATGTATGGAGAATATTATCTGTTTAATGCATTTAACAGGATAGCCATTGTTTAGAATTGCCTATAGCAAACAAATCTAGAACACATGGATCTATGAAACTCATCTCCCTTGAAAAGTGCTACATACGTAACTTAGGTTTTGGTTTGCTCCCTCGTTTCATGGTTCTCTAGCTACCTTTTGTGAGAATTTGTGTGAGATGCCCCTTTGTTCATATTAGCGGGATGTTGGGTGTTTTTCTCAATAGACAGTGCCAAACTCTTAAGGTGAACATATGTTTTGATGTGTTTGATGAGGTGTTTGAGGAACAGCCAGGCAGCCAGTGGAGCTGAAACAGAGTAAGCCAGGATGGGAGTAACAGGAAGTGAGATCACAGAGATAATGGACTTCAGATTACATTGAACCTTCTAGGCCACTGTAAGAACATGCCTTCCACACACTGAAGGAAATGAGCCTTGGGAGTTCACATAAAATGAATTCAAGTTAGTAATCAATAACAGAAATAACTAGAAAACTTGGGAATTCAAAACGTGTTACTAAGCTAGATGGCCAAGAAGCATATAAATAGATACTCAATAACACTTGTATTGAGTTACACAGAGTAAATATACCATTTTATCTCTAACGGACCAACAAAAATTTAAAAATCTGACAAAGTGTTGATGATAACGGGAGGCAACCAAACCTCTTAAATACTGCAGGAAAGTATAAACCAATATAAAACCTTTGGTAAATAATTCAGTTTTATCTAGTATAGTCGAAGACATATACATCCCATGACCCACCTATTTCAATCCCAGGACCAGACATCCTAGAAATGTGTGCACATGCATAGCAGGAGACCTGTACAAAAATATTCATAACGGCATTGTTTGTAATGGAAAATGGGAATCAACTCCCCAAACCGTCAACATTTAAACAAATAGTGGTATTTGCATATCAAATAGTAAAAATGAATAAAATACAACTATGCACATCTTCAAGGATAAATCTCAGTAAATAATAGTGAGTGAAATAAACAAGGTGCAAAAGAATACATATACTAGCTTTCTGCTTGCTACATCCAAATTTAACAATATATTGTTTAGAGACACACATATGCAGTAAACTACGAGGAAATTAAAAAAAAAGAAGAAGAAGAAATACTCAATCCAGATCAGTGACAATCTCTTAGGAGAAAAGAAGAGAAAGAATGGTGCTTACTGCTTTGTTTTTCTCGATAAGCTATACAAATTTTGTAAATATTTATTTTTCTATATCCATTTAATGTCTTGGAAAAAGGAAAGCATTTATAAGCATATACATATAATAAACACATAGTCATATATAATACTCTGGGGCAAAAAAAAATCACTTCTATCAACAAAAGTCCTCATCTTAATGATTTCTCCTGAGCAACCACTGACACAACATTTCTGCATTTATAAATTTATTTTAAGGTAACTGTACAAGTAAATGAATAGCCGATATGGTGATCATAACTTATTTTACAATAGTGAGAATCAGAAACAAAATATCCATCAAAAAAAATTCTGATTAAATACATAATGGCATACAGAATATTATACAACAGTTACAATTATAATTGATGTATAATTGCATTTATATGTAAAGTCACCCGTGACAGAATCTAAGCAAAAAAGTTACAAGTAACATATATAGTGTCACCCCATTTATACTTGTGTGTGTTTGTGCCACTGCGTCTATTGAAAAATATGTAACATGTTAACATTGATTATCTCTAGATGGTTGGATTGGGTTATTTTCATTTTCTTCTTGGTTAACTTTTTGTTCTAACCAAATCATTTAAAATAATCATTATATTATTCTTATAATGTAGTTATATCCACTATGAAATTTTTTTTCTTCTTTGACCTTATCTGATTTATCAGATCAGTCCTTTTATTATTTTAAGCTCTATGTCTTTCAAAGTAGACAATCAGAAAGGTACGTTTATAGAAGACTTAGTCCCTTTCAGAGTAGAAAAGTAAAAAATACATCAAAATATGAAAGTTCATATAAGAAGCACATAAAATAACATAGGCAATGAAAGTTATATTAAGGTACATGCTACAAAGAGAGTATATAAATAAAATCTTGGAAATATTAACAAAATTGATGTGGCATGAACAAGTGTGGGGAAAATATTTCAAGGAAAAAATGTTCAAGGAGAACATTACTCAGTAAAAAGTCCAATTCTAATTGGAAGGTGGTATGTGATACCTTGACATAAAGAATGAATAATCAGGAGAATTCCTGCCCTGAAAAAAAAAAATGAAATAAAAATAATAAAATTGGATACTGTCAATGAAGATGAAAGCTGATTGAAATGTATTACCTAACATTTTATTTTCAGTGAAACGCTATCAGAAGTCTCTACAAGATTCTGAGTAATAAAATCAATAAACCAAATACTCTTAAAAGTATGATGTTCCTCAAGAGATACCAGGAAATGTAAAGCAGAGACAGTATGCACCTCAGTCATCCAATTTTCGATATCTAGAATGTGGGTGCAAAAATCATCAAGGAAAAATAAAAACGAGAAATATCCCCTCAAACAGAAAAAAAATAAGATAAATCTTAAGTTTATAGGAATCCTTGAAATATATTTTTTCAAGACACATATAAAAAAAGTTATTTACTTCTCCATCTCACAGATCCTCTTGTTTTATGTATAATTACAGCTCAATAAAGGAACAGTTGTCCTGACAAAACTTTCTTCCAGGAGTTGGGGAGCTGAAAGCATTCAATTCTCCACTCATCTGACAGTCTGAATTTACACAGGAAACAAATGCAAATCTCCCCAGTGCTCAGGTCGGGGTTCCATAAATATTAAACCACTAACCGCTGGTTGTACCGTGAATACCCCTTTAAGGAGTTACATCGAACTGTTATCCCAATTCTAATAGTTTTTGAACACTGCAGTTATACTCACAGAGAATGGAGATAAGTAAAACAAACTCAGCTTTATTTTATAACATTCATTTTATAAAAATAGCTGTACCTGCTTTTGCCGCACGTAAGTTCTGACTCTCGTCATCATGGTGTCCAGTTCTCCATTGATTTAAAGCTTCCTGAAAGGACTGGGAAGAAGCTTCTTCATCAAATGACCCTTCACACAGGAGCCTATCTCTTGGATTTGAACATTCTGTTCTTTTTGTGGTTGGAATGTCTACCTAAACCAATTAAAAGTCCATCTAAGTGTGCTTTACTAAATTTTCTGTATCTTAAAATATAGGCAGCATTATTAGGCATTTTGAATCATAGATTACTTTTAAACTTAAAAATGGAATGTTTTTAGTTTGTACTTATTTATATGCTTTACTGATTTCTTTAAAACTGTATCAGCAATTATAAATGGTCTCTTCAAAAATTGTTAAAAACTAGAGCTTTCAACTGAGGATTTATCATCATGTCATTTACCAGTGTTCTCCCTGGAAGGCGGCATAGCCATGAATCTCACTCCTCTACTCCTCCAATCTGCTCCCTGCAACCCCTTCACAGGAGAGAGAGCAGATTTTTTTTATGCTTATTTATTTTTGAGAGAGAGAGAGAGAGAGAGGAGACAGAGCATGAGCAGGGGAGGAGTAGAGAAAGAGAGGGAGACACAGAATCAGAAGCAGGCTCCAGGCTCTGATCTGTCAGCACAGAGCCAGACGCAGGGCTCGAACCCACGAGCCTTCAAGCTGTGAGATCATGACCTGAGCAGAGCCACCCAGGTGCCCCTAGAGCAGTTTTTTTTTTTTAATATGTGAATCTGATCATGTTACTCCTATGTTCAAAACCTTCCAATGACTCTATGAAATTCTTATGAAGCCTCCTACTAGGACCTACAAGACCATACGGACCTCATAACCCTTTGTTTGTTTGTTTGTTTGTTTGTTTGTTTGTTTGTTTTTTACTTCACTTCCTTCAATTCCTACTTCATTCCACTGGGCTGTAGCCAAATTTACATTTCTTCAGCTCCTGGAGCCCATGAAGCACACTCTGCTTGAGGGGCCTGCCCTAGCCATATCTAGCACTTGGAATGATACTTCATATTTTCACATAGCCATTGCACTCATTTCAGCTGGTCTCTTTTCAGCTGTCACCTACTCAGAGAATAGGTGATGACCCTACATATATACCCCCTTGGTGTCCCCCAGTTTCAATTCCCTTATTTGCTATATTTTTTCTCCCAACAGCATCTCTGTGTGAATTTACTCTATATGTTTATTTATTGCCTGTCTCTTCCCATTAGAATGTAATGAGATCCAGCCCTTTGTCTTTTTCTTCAGTGCCAAGAACAGTGCCTGGCATGAAATAGATGCTCATTAAAAGTCAGTTGCATGAACGAACAAATTAATTAATGTATATGAAACATTGCATGCTTCTTAGCATAATGATGAGGAAAGGGTGAATTCCGTACAAAATAGAGATCCTCTGTGAACACACAGAAGAAAATAAAAGAGCATTTGGCAGTTATCCAGTCAATCAGAGAAAACAGCCAAATTAAGAAAATAAAGCAAAATAAAGTCCACACCGATGCTGAATTAGCAACGTGGATTTACCTACACTGATCAAATTACTAAATCTCCATTGTGTATCTTCTAGATACAAAAGTAGAATCCTCTATGTTCACCCCTTAATTGCAAAATAAACGGGAAGACTGTTAGAGGATAATTGAGAAAAGAGTATTAAATATGTGTCCAAAATTTTAAATATTAACAAAAAGCATCTGGGAGTCTGAAGACACTGTGCCAGATGGTGGCCACAGAAACACAGGTTAAAAAGTCCACAACAGAAACAGGTGCTAGAAATGGGTATTTAGTTCAGATAAACACGATTTTTACGGGCAAAAGGTGGCAGGGAGAGTATTCCAGAGACAGGAAATGGTATGTACGCTGAAACATGGAGTCAAACAGCACAGTGGCATGGAACTGTTAGCAGTTTTCACTGCAATAGTAAAAATTAAGATATGAGAAAATATAAAGTGTAAAACGTACTCTGGGGCAGATCGTAAAGGATCCTGCTGCCAGACAGAGGAAATTAGACTTACACATAATGAAAACACAAAGCCACAGAAGAGTCCTACACAGCAGTGTGGCAGAGAGAGAAATTAAGGATTAGTGAGTTTGGATGCAAGGGAACCAGTTAAAATGTTACAGCTAATTGGTAATATCTATCAACATTACAAATGTATGACCCTCTTCAACCAGGAATTTCAGGATTTTATCATATGGATACACACACATACACACACACACACATGTGCAAAACAATATCTTTCAAAATTATTCTTTATGCTATAGTTTGCTCTGGCAAAAAAACCCAAATAGCATAAATGTTGGTCAGTGGAAATTATATATTTTAATTAAAATTTTAAAATTTAAATTTTTAGATTTTAAAGTCATTTTAATATCTAATAAATGGGGTGTTTTGTAACCACTATATGGAATGAGAAGGCTATAGAATGCACCTAAATAAAAAAAACCACATTGTTAAGTGTCGAAAGTATATTTTCAGAACAGCATCTAACATATTAATATTTGTGTAAAGAAATACATAAAAACAAAATTGGAATAATTATTAACTTCTAGAAAGGGAGAGAATGAAATCCATTTTCCACATTATAAGCCTATTGCACTCCAAGAAAAAGCTAATTTCAGTATTTGGCATAGAAATGAGGATAGAAGTAACCAAATATTCAAGAGAGTTTTTAGATGCTAAACTATATGAGACATGGTAACCAACTGGACATGCAGAGGAAGAAGAAAAGGGACTACAGAAGATCAGAGCTCTTGGCTCACCTGGAAAGCTAGAAGATATGCTGTCACCCATGGTGACATCTATATAGGTTTCGGAGAGGAGGTAAATTTAGTGTGAAGATAATGAATTTTAGGGACACCTGGGTGGCTCCATTTGTTAAGCTTCCGACTTTGGCTCAGGTCATAATCTCGCGGTTCGTGGGTTCAAGTCCACGTCAGGCTCTGTGCTGACAGCTCAGAGCCTGGAACCTGCTTCCGATTCTGTGTCTCCCTCTCTCTCTCCGCCCCTCCCCTGCTCGCTCTCTCTCTCTCTCTCTCTCTCTCAAAAATAAACATTAAAAAATGTAAAAAAAGGAAAATATTGAATTTTAGAAGTGAGAATCCAGTAATCAGTATGTGAGTGTATGTATTTGTACTGCACTAATGAAGAAACCCTGAAATCTCAGTGCTTCTTACAAAATGGTTTCAATATGCAGTGATTCTAGGAAGTCTCCAGGGCAGCTTCTTTCCAACCAATGAATTGGAGACATAAGACATTTTTATTTTATAGCTAAGCCTTCGAAATACTTGGGTTCCTCACAGTAGTGGCAGGATAAGAAAAGTCAGAGGATTGGACACTGGCTTTTAAATGTTTGAGCCCAGGGGTGCCTGGGTGGCTCCGTAGGTTGAGTGCCCAACTTCGGCTCAGGTCATGATCTCCCAGTTTGTGAGTTCGAGCCCCGCGTCAGGCTCTGTGCTGGCAGCTCGGAGCCTGGAGCCTGCTTCCGACTCTGTGTCCCCCTCTCTCTGCCCCTCCCCCACTTGTGCTCTGTCTCTCTCTGTCTCCCAAAAATAAACAAACAGGGAGGAGAGGGAAGATGGCGGCGTAGGAGGACGCTGGGCTCACCGCGCGTCCTGCTGATCACTTAGATTCCACCTACACCTGCCGAAATAACCCAGAAAACCGCCAGAGGATTAGCAGAACGGAGTCGCCGGAGCCAAGCGCAGACGAGAGGCCCACGGAAGAGGGTAGGAAGGGCGGCAAGGCGGTGC